CTCTCTCTCTCTCTCAAAAAAAAAAAAAAAAAAAAAAAAGGTTCAGAGCTCTGCTACTCTGTCCCTCACCTCCCAGGTCAGGCCCCATAGACAGAGGGGAGGGATCTGGGGAGGCTGAGGCAGGAGGACTGCAAGCTAAAGTGACGTGTGGAGCCTGGGTAGCCTGGCTTCCACAGCCTCCACTCTTGGCCCTAAGGCCCACCTGCCTAGGATCCTGGATGTGTCCCCTGGCTCTGGGGACATCAGGGCTGCAGTTGTGCCCTTCCTGCCTGGGAAGTGCCTGGATGTGGAGTGTGCTGGGGGTGGGCTGCGGAGAGTAGGGAGGAGCCTTGAGGGTGGCCCGTCAGGGGCAGGTCTGTGTCTGGGCTGCCAGCTCCCTGGAGCACAGCCTTAGGCCATGCTGTCTCCAGCAGCCCTCGCCCACCCCACCCCACTCCTGGGGAGGCGGGCAGACAGTCGTGTGAGGGTAGTGGAAGTGCAGGGCTGGGTGGGGGCGATGCCTCTGTCCTGCCCTCTGTCCCTCATGCTCAGTCCTTGACCCCCCCTGGGTCCCCYCTCCAACCTCTCTAGAACTTTCTTATCCATCACTTTGTCTTGGGATGACATCCCCTCCCTTGACCTCTAGTGAGTGGCCTTTGTGACTCTGGGTCCCCTCTATTGTGGGTGCCAGTGTCCTCCTCACTCCTCTGGGGCCAGCTCCACAGTCCTTCAGCCCCTGGCCTGAGGCCATCTGCCTTGGTCACCTCCCACTCACACCTCAGCTCAGCTGCCCAGGTCTAGAGAGAGATTCTCCCTCTGTCCCATCTTGCGCTGCAGATGAGCGCATGGGAGCCACCCGCAGACCTACTGTGTACTCCTGTTCCACCCTCCCTTCCAGCCTCTGGACCCCACACACTGACCTCTCCTCCCTCCCCTTCCCAGACCAGCACTCCACACTGCCAGGAGTGCCCGGCTGTGCCAGCACCTACTCCACACCCTCCYTTGCCTGATGTGCCCAGAGCCCCACCAGCTCCTCAGCCCCTGTGCCCATCTGGAGGGACACCACCCCAGGGCTCAGGCCTCCTTCCCCTGAGGCAGGACTTGACCC